CAGTATGGACACTTTTGCAAAGCACTAACATAACTACGCCAGCAATGGAGGGAATCCAATGATTCATGGAGAGATGTTTTATTTTTTAACCATGCTTTTCTTATATTTTTTGAAAATGATTTGAAGTTTAGTTTTTTTTATTTTTCATTTTAGATATATCCCCCCAAAATAAAAATTTCTGGTGTGAATAAGTTAGAGGCAGATATAGAAATATTTTCAAGAAATATTATCAATTAATGGTCAATATTCTTATTAGGGAAGAGTTTAGGGTTTTGATTTAAAGCAAAACACTTTGAAGAACACAGAAGCTAGACTCAGACCTTTTACATATTGCTCTTCTCCTAAAGCATAAATGCACTCAGTCAAAGGCTCCTAACACCCATGGCTGCAGATTAGCAGCTGGCACAGATCTACTGTCGACCACAGCTTATTGTCCTCTTGGCTGCTAGAGTGAAGGTTACTTGTTTGTATTCAGTGAAGTCAGTCAGCAGCTCTTTAGCTTTCTGCAGTCTGCAGGGCACAGGTGGCGCCGGTCGATGTCTGATCACAGGCAACAAAGCATAAAAGGTTTGATGTTGATGTAAAGACTCAGTATACAAGGCGCCCGCCCACATGATGTGCATTTATACAGTAAGATTACAGTTATTCAAAGATGCATTTTAAAAGAGAAGACCTCCATTAGCAGAATGATGATTCTACCTGAGGAGTAGAAAGAGGATCCAGTCAGAGTTAGTTGGATTTATGGAAGTATGAAAGCTGCTCCACCCTAAACCCAAATGCTGAAAGTAATTCATTAGTCTGAGTGGTTGAAACTCATTAGTTTGTAAAATTTCTGCTATATTAATATAGTTTTTTTTTTAGTACATTAAGTCCAAACTTTAAATGAATCTAGATTGTTTGTTTTTTCATTAAAATTTAACTAAAATAACTTCATAAACCTTAAGTTAACTGCTTAGCTGGCAATGGGTGTGGCTAACATGGCAACACCATGATTGAGGTTTGTACTACATTTAGTCAGCAGTATTCAATGTTACCTGATAAGCCATTATTAAGGACCAGGTGAAGAATTAGTGAATATGATATTTCAATTTGTCACACCACAGAAATAAAAAAATTTTATCAATTAAAATGAGTTTGAATTGATTAAAACACAACCGAATATACGGAATGATGTCTCAAGAGTAATTAAATAACTCTTTGTAGTCATAGTAAGATGAACCCTCATGAGGCATTTTAACGGTTTGGCCAAATTGCTCCAGCGATCTCCACAGTTCATGAAGCTTCATGTGAACATGTCAACAATTATTGCAATTATTGTTTTTCTTGTTTTCTTGCCCCTTAAGGTTCCTTTGAAATTGTTAATGATTGGTCTGTATAATAAAATATTTTGTAAGTTTTCTTGTTTGTAAAATGTCTGCGCAAAATGAAAGGTGTTAGTCATTTTATTTAAACATAATACTTTTTGGTTTTAATCGGGTTGGAAGTTATGTGTTCAACCAATGTCTTGGTTAAACCAAACAATCTAATTTGGTAGTGTTTTTACACAACCTTTATTTGTACTAGCGCAAAGCAATACAAATTAGGCAAAATACTTGTGTTTTATCTCAACTTTCAATAGTCTGAGGTGGGTGTTGAACCAAGAATCTCAAGAGTGGAAGTCCATTACAGCTGACACCACTAGAGAAGTGACATGACATATTAGTTAAATTCTATTACATCTGTAACCAGTGGCTTGCTCAGATTTTGATCATTACATTGTTTAATCTCACAAAACTAGTTTTAACCAACTAGATTGGTTGTTTTTCCAACCAATCTATCTTTGAATATATACAACCTATCCAACTCAAGCATCTTGACTGAACACAGAGGCTGTTTAAATGGCTGCCGAAGTTCCAGGCGAGCTGAACAACTTCCCGAAGCGGTCACATGGTATAGCGGGGTAGCGAGGCTTCGGACGTCATCGATTTTGGCTCCTCCTCCAAATAAAGCAAGCCAATATGTGCCTCACGAAAACACTACTTCCAGTACTCGAGACACGCCTCAAAGCCTAGGTCATCTCATAACATCACCAACTCTTTGTCCTGAAAGACTGGGGGCGTGTCCTTTAGGGGCGCCGAACCCCCGCCAAAGTTGCTATTCTATTTCACTGCAACAGTCACAATGAAAAAATATGCTAAATATAATCTGTACATTCTTATTTTTAATTCAGCTGGGATTAGTGGAAGCTTCCTGCATATGTGACTGATGTGCAATAGGGAAACAGAGTCACTCCGCTCTCTGACTGCAGACACAGGCTTCAGCTGCTGCCTCTGAGTCCCTGTGTTTTAGAGGAGGGAGGAGCTCGCTCACTAACTGTTCAATAGAGACCGTGAACTCAGAGCGATCTGCACTCTATGTGTTGTCACTAAAATATCCAACATGACAGGAAGAAGTTGCTAGATTTGTTGCTAGGCGCTTTTTTGAAAAAAAAGTCCCTAGAGGGGTCTAAAAATATAACAACAAAGTCACAACAAGTGGCAACAATGCATAGGCAGCCTGACTTCATTTTTATACCGCTGGGCCCGCAGGGGGCGGACCTATGCTGGAGGCAGCTGCATGATGACACGAGGCCACACTTTTAGACACACCCAGCAAAATTCAAACACAAATTTACTGCTAGTGCCACAGTTTAATCCTAAAAGGTTGGGAGGCTCTTTACATGTGTAGAAAAATACATTTATGTTTGGAAAATAGGGGAATTCTCTTTACATGCTGTTTAAATTTTAAAATGTTAATAATATAGGGCTATAACAATTATGCCAATTGTTGTTTGGTATTATAGTACCAACGGGGTATAAATAGCACATCAGGTTTATAGGTAGTCGTTGGATTTGTTGCTGTCTTTGTTTTTGGACTAAAGAAACAACTGAACAAAAATCTTAAACTCTTTGCAAATAAAACTCTTTCCTATATATAGTTCCTATATCTAAATACCTTAAACAGTATTAAGTAAATGTTTTCATTTGGCTTAATGAACCATTCTAATTAAGTTGAAATCTAAATGTAGAAGTAGGACTGACTGATTATTAATTTGTAATTTAAAGTTCACAACCTTAAACATTTTGAGGCAACTGAATGCTTTACAGTTTTTTAAGATCTGGTCATTTATTCATGTTTACAAAGTGTTGAGGTATTTTTGACAAATCTAGACACCCTTCAGGCCTCCTTTCAGTTCAGAATTTCCAGAACCCATCCATTACCAGGTTTTGTGTTTTATCAGATGCCCAAACCACTTTAACTGTGTCTTTTGGATTTATATAAATATTAACTTTACTTCTCCTTCTCTATTCACATGTTGTGTCTGAGTAATATATTCTCCCTATCCATAAGAGATCGTCCAGGCACTCTGTGGATGAAAGTTATTTCAACCACATCCAAGATGTCTGCAAAGGATCAGTTTCGTTATTAGATGAAGCCGAGTTTCTAAAGTTTGAATGCAGCTCTTGATTAATCTTCAAAGCACCCTTCTTATATGGAAATATTAAATGTTGGGAGCGTTTGTCTTAAATGAGGTTTAAACGATTAAAAGGTAAAATATCTGCAGATAGAACAACATCTTAGCTTTTTTAGCCGGCATGTTTGATGACTTCCCCATTAACTGTCCTGGTGCTGCAGGAAAAAGGGCATCTTTCCGTTCCATATATTAGGTTAGGGTCAGACTATGATGAGTGTAAGAGTTTGAAGGACTTCCTGTACCATACCTCTACCCTCACAGCAGCTGTGTCTGTTTCCTCCTCTTGCAGGCGGCTCAGTCGGGGGTTCACACATTGTTGCTCCAAATGTTCCTTTTTCTGTGGAGGACCTGGTGTCTGATCACATCTTCTACGTCCAGAACCATCAGAAACCTCAGGCCAACAGGGATGTTTTCAGCTTATACATCAGTGACGGATACAGCCAGACGGAAGCATTCACTGTGGAGATCGAGATCCAGGTAGGAAGTTTTCAATGGGTGACAATAGACAAACTCACAGGCTCAGAGTTGATAGTGTTTGATCAGTAGTGAAAGCTATTGATTAACTCTTTGTTCTGTGTTTTCTGTTGCAAAATACATTTTCTGACCTATAAAGATGATACATTGGTTTAGAATTTGTTTTTAGTATTCATATTTTTAAAGGGATGATTTTCAACCATCAATGTGATGCTTCTAAGTCTTTTATTAAGTATAATACCTGTTATTAAAACATTAAACCATCTTTCTTCCAAGGAACAAGGATTTCATTTTGTTTCCAATGCATTTTATTGTTAATAAAAGCATTAAGAGTATGCAAAGGTCCTCCAAACATTTTCGTTGTCTTATTTTAATTTGGTATGTTCAGCAGCCTGTTCATAGCCTCAGCAGATTAACAGCATGGAGGAGTTCTGCTTCTGAATCTGTTTCTGAATCTGTTTCTGAAATTCAGACAGGTTGAACCTGAAAAACGTCCTGGTTCTTCAGGTTCAATTTGCATGTTTTCTAAGCCAAAAAAAGGTTTTGTTTTGGTCTACTTTATTAAGCTCTGAACTCAATGCTAATTCTGACATTTTGAATTGAAAAGCTTCCTGGATGGGAAGTGAAATGTCTTCAAACTTGGAAACAAAGTCCAGTGGATTGATTTTTAACTTAACTAGGAATGACTATGACCAGGGGCGGATTCAGGATATTTGGGGCCCTAGGCAAAGACATGCATAGGGCCCTCTGAATTGAAAAGACAACACTTAAAACAGACCCATTATACAGATACAAAATGTTATCTTAAATTTTATTATTTATAAATAAGCACTTTTTAAAAAAAAGTGCTAGAGGGGTCTGAATAGTTGCTAAATAAAGCAACAAACGCGCACTTGGCACCGTTTGTTTTCAAATGGTTTGCAGCTGACTGGACCTTTCTTCACTTGCGCGGCAAACGGACTGATCCAATGTGGCGGACACTAAAGCATTCTGATAGCATTTTAGAGAAAGGATTTCTATCAAAAACATAATTAATGTGCACAAATGAGTAATACCTGTATTAACCATACATGTAAAAGGAGGTTTATGGGTCCCCAGGAATTTGGGGCCCTAGGCAGCTGCCTAGTTTTGCCTAATGGTAAATCGCCTAATGGTAAATCATATAACATTCAACAGAAATCCAGGTGTCGACCCACCTGAAATGACTTAGAATCCACCTTTTATATGGTGTTCAGACAAGTGGCCAGGTCAAATGATTCATTAATTGGGGCATCAGGACACATGGTGAATTATCGAAATACTGAGATATATCTAATTTATAATACTGTTATAAAACTAATGCTGGTCCTTCCCTCTAGTTAAGACCCTTATTACTCTAAATAATTGAAGTATCAAAAGTTGAAAGGCTTAAAGAAAGAAAGTTTAGTTGATAAATTTAACATTATTATAAAATCCAAAGAAAAACAAAGTCAGAGCTTTAGGAAAACAGAGGAATCCAAATAACTTTTTGCTGTTTTTTTTTTTTATTTTTTATTTAAGTCTTGAATAATAAAGAAGCAGCAAAAGCTCCTAATTCACGCTAAAGGATGGTCGGGACTTTTAAATAGAGGAGCTGCACAGGTTTGCAAAGTCTCCAAATTACAGACATGATCTTATAGCTACTTTTAAACCATTTTGAATGATTTTAACTTGTTGTTTTTGTTAAGAGGTTCTCATAGATCCAGTATTGTGTACTACCTTACACATCTTCCAATGTTAGAAGTTTTAGTAATTGATCATCTATCTTTCCTGCTCTAAGAAAGACTTCATCTAAATTAAACATCACAGCCTTCAGCCTGCTCTTTCTCTCTTCAGTATAAACATAATCGGTTTCCTAATCAGCTAATTAATCCTGTTTTGAGACTCCAGTTGAATTGATGAGGCTGTCAGTGAGCAGTTAGGTTAGCAGTGTGTGTGTGTGTGTGTGTGTGTGTGTGTGTGTGTGTGTGTGTGTGTGTGTGTGTGTGTGTGTGAAGCAGCCATGTATGGTGGATCTCTCAAGGATCCAAATCCCTGTTAAAATATAAGGTTTCTGCTTGGTTAACAATTTAGACTTTCATCAAAAATGTTAACCTTTAGAGCAAAAAATAAGCTCTGAATTCAGTTCAGTCAAACTAATATATATTTAGAATGAAATTTATAAACAGAAAAAGGTGCAGGTACGTGGTTGCCTAGATGGGGGGTTGCGGCCCCATGGGAGTACACCGGGGGGGGGAGTATGTATGTTTGAAATAAGGTAGGTGAATAGTAATAATAATATATATACATTAAAACTGTGACAGTTTTTCCAATATCATGAAATCGGCTTTTATAAATCATTATAAACTATAACTTGTAGTAATATATCACTTTAACATGAAAACCATGTGAACTTTGAGGCTCTTCCTCTGTCTAAATATGTGAGAAAATTATCCTACTTTCACTGGCAGTTCAATGGTTTTACCTTTGGCACAAATATAATTGCTTTGGTCTGCCTTTCTATCCCCAAAGAGACAGTTTGTTAAAAAGTTTGTTATTCACTGGAATTACTATACAAATAGAAAAATATGCTTGTTAATATTCTTTCTTCTAAAAAAAGCAATGTAATATAATACGCTAATACAAAAAAGTTAGAAAGACATTCTAAAAGGGGATTTTTCTTTATGCATGTTGTAGCAGTGTCTATTAGTTTGCAAATGGGATCCCTGGTCAGAAGTTAAAACTATTGTGGGGGCAAAATTTTGTGAACTCCTGGCCTGGAGCAAAAAGTCTTATATTGTCACTGTGCATTTTTTTTCTTTCAATATTTTAGACTATTCTGTTTGTATTTATAATCAGTTAGTGTGAATCTGATTAAAACAAAATTCTTTTTCTTATATTAGCACCCTTTAGCTAAATTCCTTCCTTCCTTCCTTCCTTCCTTCCTTCCTTCCTTCCTTCCTTCCTTCCTTCCTTCCTTCCTTCC